AAGAGAAGACAGAAGAGAGAGGGAAGAGAAACAAACAGAATTAGGAAGGGGGAAAGACAGGGAAGGTTGGAGGGAGAGACAGGAACAGGGATGGAGCAGGAAGACGCAGAGGAAATGAATAGAATAAGGAAGGGAGAGGAAACAGAAATGGTGAAGAAGAGAGAATGTGAAAGGCAGGAGGAGCCAGGGAGACACCAGAGAGGGAATTTGGGAGCGACAGAAAGAATCGGTTAGTCCTACATTTCAATGAATGGCACTAAGTCAGCATTGCATGCCTCAACAAATTAAGATCACAAAGGACAAAAAGGAGCAAATGGCTCCAGGAGATACCCAGAGATGGCACAAGGGAGAGGAAAAACTGAAGAAGGGGAGGGAAGCCGGAAGCCCATGGGCTTGGAGAGGAGGAGAATAATAAGACAGGGTCTCCAGGGTAGGGTGAGGAAGTAGCAGGGGTGACTGCCAGTGTCAAGTGTGGTTCTGTGATGTTTCTCTCAACAGAACAAAGGAAACAGACAGGTGGGGACCCTTCTTGGTTCCAAGGAAGCTTTAGAACCCAAGGAGTGAAACTGAGACAGGAACAGAAAGGCCTAGGAACACAGTGTGGATTTCTTCCTCTTCTTCCCTGCCTCATTTTGCATTAAATGGGAAGGGATTACTGTAGGAATCTGCCCAACAGCATTGGCTGGTGTCACTGGGCTCGTCAAAGGGGAGTCTAAATCCTGAAACCTGGAGTGTGTGTGTCTGGTGGCAGCTCCTTGTGGATGAGAATACTTGCAGACACACGCACTGACGGTGTTGTTTTCTAACGGAAAGGGCTTAAGAAAACAGGTTGCCATCAGGGTCTGACTCAAGGTGAGCTGGCGGGGGGTGTTGGGTCAGGTGGTGCATACGTCAGCATTGTCCCACCAAGAGGAGAGCGGTGCTGGGAGCTTTGACATACAGGCTGTTACAGAGCAACTGATCAGTCAAAAAATAAAAGAAGAAGAGGAGGTTTTTCTTAGAAAACCTTGGCCTACGAACCAACCAAACACTTAGGCTGTGCCTTACTCCTGCGCTTCTTCTCCAGGCGCCTCAGGCGCTTCTCCTCCCGCCGGCGTGCCTCCTCAGCCTCCTGGTGCTGCCGGCACTTGTGGAAGTTCTCTACGACCACCCCCACAAACATGTTGAGTACGAAGAAGCTGACAATGAGGAGGAACGAGATGAAGTAAAGGAGCATCCAGGGGTTGTTGTTGGTCACTGGCTGAAAAGAAAAGAAAAGAAAAGAAAAGAAAAGAAAAGAAAAGAAAAGAAAAGAAAAGAAAAGAAAAGAAATGTGATTGGCTGATTGGGGGTTAGAGGTAGGATTATGAAAATGAAGGAGGTTGTGATTGGCTGGAAGGGGCAGGATTTTGAAAATGAGGGAGATCAGCAGATGGCGACTGGCTGGTTGGGAAAGGATTATGAAAATGAAGGTAGGCACAACAAATAGACCAGGTGTCTAGAAGTCAAGGACAAGCCTATACTAGTAATAATAAAGCATTCAGGATGTTGCACCTACATTTCCAATACAATCACAACAACAGGTCAAATGGACAATTAAAACATCAGAGAATATGACAGACACTAGAGATACCTGGAGAAAAGGCGGGTTGGGCTGAGGGTGGGTAAATTCCACATCTCAGGTGCAATGGGGGAACCCCTGAAAGGTGAGGGGTGCCTGAAAGCAGGTGTCAGTCAGGATCAAGGAGAAAAGAGGGCTTGAGTTCAACCCCGTTTCTCACCACTGGGCATTTTAAAAGACCAGCAACACTTCTCGTGTTGAGAACAGAAGGTAAGAGTAGTATCCTTATATTCATTCAGGCCTCTGATGCTGCAGTCTTTGTCGGGGCCTGATCCTGCATTACTCAAGTCAATGTGAGTTTTGGCATTGACCTCAAGGGGGGACACCCTTGGAATTTAATTACAGGGACAGAGGATCCAGGCTTATAGGCAATTAGAGGAACCAATTGTAAATCAGGTGGGTGCACCATGTCCAGAAAGACCTGGGCAACTGCTGCTGCAAAGGTATCACAGGATATATCAGGACCTGGCCTGCACAACTTCCCCAGCTGACTAAAGGCAAGGACTAGAATGAATGCCCACCCTGCTGATCACTTCCAAACTCACCTCCCTGCATGTGAAGAACCACAGCCCAGACCCACTAGTAACAACAAAAAGGAGCTCGCAGATGGGAGAGGCTCAGAGCAATGCTAGAAGATGCTATTGGGTAGAGGGGAAGTACCAACAGCTGGCTGATACAGCATGCTTCCACCTTCCTGCCTGAAGGAGGTGTAGATGGCACGATCAGTTTGGAAGGAAGTCTCTATACCTGCTGGTCCACAGCCACAGCATCTAGTCCATTATACATAATATTGACCCAACCATCTTTGGAGGCCAGAACGAAGAGGGACATCAGGGCCTGTAATACAACAGAAAGATGTCAGACAAAGAGTGTATGTGTGTGGTGAGGGTGGGGACAGTTCACATTTTAAGTTCTTAGGCACAAAACAGCATTAAAACTCAAGGTATTGGCTACCCAGCACTGCCATCTGCATAATTACGAACAGATGGGAGAAGGAGGGGAGCCCTTCGCAGAGAGGGACCATTATGCAAGTTTGTCCTGTTGAAGCAGCAGTGTAAAATGTTCCCCCCTTCCGCAGAGATGAGTGAATTCAGGTTGACAAATTAAAACACAGAAAACCCCAGCATGACATGCCTGCTGCTTGTCTGTGAAAATACAGAGACTTGGCGAAATCTTGAAAGCCTTGGCAGACCTGGCCAACGCAATCAGAAAACATCCACCGTCCAGCTCTGCCTTTGAGGAAGCCTCCCCGCTTGCATGCATGGATGGACCTGCTGAGAAACCAGAGAGCTCAGCCTGGCCCCTTGCCTTACAAGGCAGCACTTCACTGACAGGCCTGGTAGGGAGGCTGCAGAGAAGAAGGGACGTGTCTGCCAATCCATTTCCTTGGTTGAGCCTAAGGGACTGCAGACACGCAGATGCCGCAGACACCGGTGGCCAAACTCCCCGGTGAGGTAAACAAGGGTGGAAGTTGGGCCTGATTCTCCTTTCACTATTTTTTAACTGCAGTGATGTCAGCGAGTTACCCTTGATTCACACCCTGCTCAGGGAGTCAAGCTGTAAGAGCTCAATCATTTACATGCAACAACATGGAAGGTGCCTCTGTGCAAGTGAAGGCAGGAGTCACCCCTAAGCATGAGTCTGGACCCGGGTGTTACATGTTGAGGGAAGGTTAGGGGCTAGCAAAAAGAGGCACTACAAGGAGAGTATAAGGAAAAGCAGCCCTTCCTCCCCTCGGCTTTAGCTTACACTTATGCGAGTTGCTTGGCCAGTTGCATCTCTTTTTCCGCCGCTTCAGTATGGAAGCTGCAGACTTTACATGAGTGACTCTGCTTTAACCTGGCCATGTCTAACCAGCTCCCCTCCATGTTCACATGACTGTCTGCTGCATCTGGCCCTGAATATGATCCACACTGCCCTTGAAATGAGTGAGCATGGCCTTGGCGGGAGCTACCCAAAGGGGCCAAGCACAGCCCAGGTTCATCTGAGAGGCAGGGGCGTGGAGGGTCCTGCACGTACCTGCCCAAGGTTGTCAAAGTTGTACTTGTGGTGGACCCACTTGTAATTGGCAGACACACAGTCAGACCTGTTGGTGATGTTACGGATGTCAACACCCAGGCAGTGGTAGAACTTCCCCTTGAAAAGCTGTAAGATGGAAGCATCTTGGTCAGCGAGTCTCACTCAGACGTCCCCGGTGTCAGGGGACAAAGAGCCACGGGAGGATCCTCAGATGAGGATTGGGACTGAGAGCCTTTCAATCACTGATTATAATCTAGCCTCAGATCAGCAGTGACTGGAAGTCATCCCGCTCAGGCAGCCATGTAATGACTTGCTGGGGATGGACTGGAACAAAGGACCTAGAGGTGAAACACCCCAGGCCCAGTCCCCCAGAGCCATCTACTCCCTCAGACGGCTGCTAAGTGTACTGATGGGGAAAAGATCTCTTGTGAGAGCAAAGACCCAGAAAAATATCGCCTGCTTCTCCAGTACTTGTAACTAAAGTGACACTGATGTGGTTCATCTGCCCAAGGCTCCTTTTCCATATGGAGGGTACTGGATTGCGCATTTGTACAGGCTCGTCAGAGCAGTCTCCATACAGACTAATTATAGCACATTCTCTGAGTTGGAAGTAACACCCACTGCTGCACTCCTCTGCCGCACAAGCCTAAAATAAGAAGGATTATCCTCCCTCTTCCTCTCCTCCCCCCCCCCCCCAGCCCACACAGCACAATGGGTGAATTTAGCGCTTGGAACAAGAGGAGAGAAAGGAATGACTAGAGTCAGGCATCACGCTGGCCCCTGCGCTTCTGCCCCAACTGACACTGCTCTGTCAGTGCTTCACAGTCATGACATGCAGCATGTCCAGCTGCTTTCCCACTCCGGGGCTTTCTCCAGGGTTGGGATCTGAATATCAGTCTCTAGACCTCAAACCACAGCACTGACCCCCTGCCCCACGCCCCTGCCACTACTGCCAAAGGCTCAGGGATCATTCTGATGAGAGCTACAGAAAGGAGGACAGAGCAGGGCAGAAGTCCAGGAAGGTTTCCTGCGATGCCCCCTCCCCTGACACACCTCTGTCTGCTTAATGGTGCCTGCAATACGCTCCCTGCCTGGCAGTACCGTGCTGAGCTTGCTGTGGGTGCCTGACAGACAATAACAACCCTACCTGCACACCCAGGATGCCAAAGATGATGAAGAAGGCACAGCAAATGAGCACAATGTTCCCAATGGGCTTGAGGGATGAGATGAGTGTCTCCACCACCAGCTTCAGGCCAGGAGCACGGCTGATGACCCTGGAAGGGAGGGAGAGTCAGGGGGTGACACGGAGAGGTGGCAGAGTTCTTTCTTCCCCTGTGTTTTCAGAATCAGACAACAGTGGCATTCCAGATAGCATGGTGCAGCTGTCATCCAGGGGAAAGCAGGCTGTCCCCTGAGCCTGAACACTGTGGGCTTGAGTCCCTCACAGCAGGACATGGGTGCGTTCCCCAGTGAGGATACTGCAGTGACATACCTTAGGGGCTGGAGGAGACGCTGCACAGTAAAGAGAAACATCCCTGGGGAGGGGATACAACACAACAGTCTTGTCTCTAGCAGGATGGTCCTGCAACCCTTTTCTGATGCATAGCCCAACATGATGCTAAGGCGTATGTGTGGAAGGAGAGGGTTAACCTGGGAATCTTGGCCAATGCCCTGTCTCCATAAAGCATATTTTAATACTGGGACTGTGTGGCAGCCATTCCACAGTGGATAGAGGAAGAGACGCAGTGAGAGAGAGTGTAGAAGACTAAACATTTACTCATGGGGCTCTCACCTGAGTGCAGTGAGAGAGAGTGTAGAACACTAAACATTTACTCATGGGGCTCTCACCTGAGAGGACGTAGGGTGCGCAGCAATCGGAGGACCCGGAGCACCCCCAAAATTTTAGCTCCTCCAGCAGAGGCCATTGAGACCACAATATCAATGAGGGACACAAAGACCAAGAAGCCATCTAGGATGTTCCAGCTGCTGCGGAGGTAGGCCTGCTCCCCAAAATATAAGCCTAGAGAGACCACCTACAGGAAAGGAGAGGGGGAGAGCATGGGGAGTTAAAGTCTCCACCTTCCAGAGGGGAAGCTACTTAACTCAATAGCAGCAGCTGATGAAGCAATGGGGACTCATCTTTCACCCTTCCATGACACTCATCTCCTTCCCAGAAAAGAAAGACCCATAGTCTGTGAAGTAAGAATGGAGATACTGGTGGCACAGAAATCGAATGTTCAGGAAAATACAATAAAGACCCACCAAAGCCTTGATGAAGTACTCTCGCCTCTCAGCTAATATCTCCTCCACTCCCCAGAGCACAGCCGCCCTGGAGGGGAGAGGGTGATGTACAGTGGATAAGACAAGGCACATGCAGTCATTAGACAAGGGCTCTAGTCCATGCTCTTCTGGTGACTGTGTAAATCACTTAATCCATATTTTTCAAACTCAAGTATGTAAAATAAAGCACCTACATCCCTACCGAGACACTTACAGAAGTGGTTTGCTTTTCAGAGCTGCCAAACACCAGCAGATGTTACCAAAGTCAACAGAATCTGTGAACACTCGTTGCCTCTGAAAACCAGGCCCCGTGTTTAGATGTCTAAATATGGATTTATGGTGTTTAATATCATGCATCCCACTCTGAAAGTGCATAATATTATGCATGATAATTTCATGCATCCAAATCTGACCTTAATTGCTTGGTACCTCAGTTTCACCATCTGCAAATTGGGGGTAAATGACATTAACCCCCTGTTGTAAAGTGCTTTGAAACGGATGGACAAAAAATAATCACAAGTAAGAGCTTATTATTGTTTCCCTCCCCTCCTGTTCGGGGAGCAGGGAGCAGCTCTTTGTTATTATGAAAGTCTGGGTGTATCTAGACTCCAGCCTACCCCTTCCAGACACCAGTAATCTTGATTTAAAACCCAGAATACATTCTAATTCCAGGCCAGGCCATGGGAGATTCAGACCCAAAGGTTGGGCATGCCCCTACCATGACGAGTGGGTGAACCTCCCAGGAAGACTGAAAGAGGATGGGTGGATTGAGGAAAGATGATGAATAGAAGGGAGATGTGTTGGGCCCATGGCACATGGGGAAAGGCTGAGCAGCTGTCTCCCAGGGACTTACCTTTAGTGTCATCTCAGCTACGAAGATTGCCGTGAAAATGTAGTTGGAGACGGTAAGAAAGATCCTCTCCTAGAAAGAACAGACAAAAGCCCCTAAAAACTCCATGAGACATCGCCACCCCTCTGTGAGCTTATTAAATCCTTTGTTATGAACTTGACCAATGTTACTGTCTTGTGAAGGTGGGAGGGAAAGCACAGGCTGCAACCAGGGGCATGTGCTGAACAACCATCATCGCACCTGACTCAACTAATGCACCATAGTCCTGTTCCCTGCCACTCCGTCTTGCAGCTCCCACACAGCTCTGCTAATGCACTGCGATTGTGATCTGCAGCTTCTGCTGCCAATCCAGCTACAGGGACCTTCATCACACAGCTCTGGAAATACAACGCAATGCTGACCAGCAGCCCAGCCCTGTCACTCCACTCTGGGACCTCTCTTCAGCCTAGACTCTGCCTAACTGTGGTATCATTTGGCAATGTGGGCTCAGCAGAGGCCCTTAAAAAGCCGTTTCACCTGTGACCTCTGTTAAGAATGACTTGAGGAAAAAGGAAAGTATATTCACCCACTGAAGCACACCAGTCTCTCCCCGACCAGAGCACCCAGATCCACATTCAAAGCCAATGCAGAAGTAACACACTCGAATTCTGGCCTGGCATTCCCACTAGGACACTGCTACACACGCAAGGCTCTCTTTTAGTTTCACCATCTGTCATTATTTTACTCACACTGGCAAGCCCGCCCCCAACCATGAGGGCCTGGAGAGACCCATGTGCCTTCTATGATCTAGGAAGCTACTCCTGAGAAAGAAGAATTGGACCATTTTAAGGCCTTGAAAGGGAGGCAAGCTGGCATATTATTCCATATTGAGAAATCACAGAGGGGAGGGGGAGTTTGGGGGTTACTCTCTGGGGCTGAGGCTTATCCAGAGCCTATGCAATGCCCAGAGAATTAACGAACTTTGTCCACCACACCCCCTCCAGGGGTGGCAGTGTTCAGCCAAAAAAGGTTGAGGGTGCAAGCTTGCTCACTGTGCTCCCATGCTCGATCTGCGGCCTCTCCAGGGCAATGGTGATGCAGTTCAGGAAGATGAAGGCCAGAACAACGTAGTCAAAGAGCTTGTGAGCTATGATGGTTTGGCAGAGGATGCGGAACCTGCAAGAGAGTTCCAAAAGGACATATGTGCCTGGGGTGAAATGAAATCTGCTAAGGAAGGAGAGAGGGGAGGGAGGAGGAGAGTTCTGCTGGAAAAGTAACATTCTCTGTGCTGGGGTTACCCGAGCATTCTCGGCATCAAACCCTCTTGTGCTGCAGGCTGGAGGGATCCCTGCCATGACAACGGATGTCTAGTTCTATTGCCACAGGAATTAGCCCTCCAGCTTCTCTAAAAGCCGTCGTGACCAGTACAATCAGCAGGAGGGCAGCAGGTGCAGCCAAGAATCAACTTCCAAGAGTTATGATGAAACTCTCTTGTCTCCGTGAGCTGTTATCCTGAGGTATGGCATGCGGATGGCTAGGGGGGAGGCCTCTTTCCTCCTTGGG